GGCATGAGTGAATAAAGCAACTGGCGCTGTGGCTTCAAGAACCCATCAGCCTGATGGGGAGGACTGTCTACTTGCATCTGAGAAAGGAAGTGCTGTCTAAGATTGAAGAATTGGAGGGGGGGGGGGCAGCTTCCTGAGGAACTGACATTTAAACTCAGCCACAAAGGACAAGCAGGAATAGGCCAAAGAAGAATTGGGGGCAGGGAGAGTTGAGGTCACACAGCTTCTGTCTGAGGCAGGAAGGAACTGATCAAGATCCAGGAACAGGAGGAAAGCAAGTGTGATCAGAGGGAGAAAGGGAGAGATGAGGAAAGACAGGGAGGTGGAGAAACTCCAACTCTCTAACCAAGCCGATGGCAACCCCAGGATGCTGAATGCAGATCATCTGGTCCACCGAGTGGTCTCTAAATCCTTCCTCTTGGGAAGATCTGAAGTTTGAGTGCAAAGAAGGAAGTAAACAACGCAGGGTTCCAGAATCTGCTGTCGTCAACATCTCTCATGGGGAATGTCTGACCCTGGGCAACCCTGACAGCCTACAGGCTCAGACACTGCCTGCGTTGAGCTGAAAAGGTCCAAGCATTTCCCCAAAGAAAATCTCAGTCCAGGCCACAAAAGCCAGGCCTCCCTGCCCAAGAAGTTGTAGTACCAGATGACAAACACCCCTCAGGAGGCTAGGAAACTAAAGCATACTCCAAGGAAACTGTCTTCACAGACTTGAGGTCTGGAAGCCAACTACACAGCCCCTTGCATAGGGACAGAAGGATTTCCTGAACTCCAAGCCCTCTGGGACCAGCCTGGGGCAGGGGGGTGGGGAGGGTGGGGGAGGATGGGGTCGGGGCGGGGTGTGGGGGGGGGGTCAAGGACTCCATAGGGGAAAGTAATAGGCAGATGCGGGAAGGCGGAGGAGAGATGTGGGCATCATGAGCCAGCAGCTGTCAGTTCTCCCAACGGACACTTCCCAAGCTAGGCAGGTTTCCCATCATCACCCAGTTTCCTTTATTCTAAGCATCTCATGACCACCACCTATAATCAGCTCACCTGGGATGTAAGCCATCCCATCACCTTTTTCTTCTATGTTCAGGTCCCGGAATGAGAGCACAGCTTTAAATGCTTTGGAAAACATTTAGTGCCAGCAACGGTGAAAAATCCCCAGGCCTAGCTCTCCAGGCTGGCTCCTTCATCTATTCCCTCCCTTCCTTTTCTTCAGTTACACCAGCAGGAAAAAAAAAAAAAATAGTGGTCAAACAGGTAGGTTTTTGGATATCAAAAAGCTAAAGGATTCACACATCACTAGTTGTAACAGGCAAACCTGGAAACAACTGCCATGTTCATCAAGAGAAAAATGGATGAACAAAATGTGATTCCATCATAAAATGGAGTCCTGTAAGCCACGAGGATGAAAAAGTGCTTATACACGACTGAGAGGATGAATCGCACAAACATAACAGCACGAAAGAAGTCAGACACAAAAGGGCATATGCTGTATGATTCTATTTTTATAAAGTTTACAAACTAGAAACACTATCTCTGGTCCCTTTGGGATGCAGGGGTAGGAAAGTAGGAGGAAAAGGAACGGGGCTTTTAGGATGACATGTTCTATTTCTTGACCTAGGTGGTGGTTACACAGATGTGTTCACCTGGTGATAATTTATCAGCTGTACACTTAAGATGCTGTGTTTTCTGTATGACAGTACATACACACACTTCAAGGAAGGGTTTTCAGCATCTTGGGAAAGGAAAAGTACATAGGACTTTAGCTTTGCGGGCCACATTTATGGATGTAGAATGACCCCGGGTGGTGGGGGGTAAAAGTGAAGAGATGACTGCATTTGGGATATGGCCCAAATGGCAACTGTGGGGTGACAGGAACTAGGGTGAACAGTTTCAAGGTTTACTTCCTTCTTTCTCCTATAACTAACTGTCAATGAAATCTCTGCATACTGTACTCCAAAGGGAAGTGGGACCAGGAGGAAAAACAGTTGGAAGTGAGCTGGCTTAAGGGAGAAAGGAGGCAACTGGAACCCTTCTATCAGCGAGGGGTCAAGGAGGGGAGGAGGAAGAAGAGGGAAAAGAATGAAATCATAAGTGCCCAGGGCAGGCAAGAAGGAGAGCTGGCCTGACTGGGAATGGATGGGGTGGGGTGATTACCATTAGTCAGCCCAATTGAAGGGATCCCTTCTCTACTCCCCTCCCTGATCCCTGCTCTGATGCACACCTAAATTAATGGCTTTATTGTGCTGCTCAAGAGATGCAAGAGACACAGGTTCAATCTCTGGATAGTGAAGATCCCCTGGAGCAGGAAATGGCAACCCACTCCAGTATTCTTGCCTGGAAAATTCCATGGACAGAGGAGACTGGCAGGCTGCAGTCCACCGGGTTGCAAAGAGTCGGACACAACTGAGCGTGCATGCACGTTGTACTCTGTAAGTCCTTTATAACTCCTGGGAACTGAAGAATAAGAGAAGTGTGTGTGTGTGTGTGTGTGTGTGTGTGTGTGTATAGCAAAGGATTCCACATCCTCAGCATCTAACACATTGTTTGGCGTATAGTTTGCACTATTAAAAAAAAAAAAAGGTTCACTGGATAAATGACAGAAACAATGTGGTAATTAGATATAAAGTTGCTGTTGCTGAGTCACTAAGTCATATCCAACTCTCTTTCGACCCCACGGACTGTAGCCCACCAGGTTCCTCTGTCCATGGGATTTTCCAAGCAAGAATACTGGAGTGGGTTGCCATTTCCTTCTCCATGGGATTCTCCTGGACCAGGGATTGAACCCACACCTCCTGCATTGGCAGGCAGATTCTTTACCACTGAGACATCTGGGAAGTCCCTAGATATAGAGACCCCCCCTTAGTATTTAAAAATCCGTAATAACATTTTAAATGGCCAAAAATGTGGGAATCAGAGTGGCATACTGTGCAACTACTAAAAATTACAAGTAACAGTAGCAAACATCTGTTGGGTGCTTTAGGGTTTTCTGAGAATTACACCTCCCCCTTGTTTGACACACAATTATACAGACTTTGCTGCCACACCGAAATGTGCAAATGACTCATTAGCAAGTCTTCCTGAAGAGACCAGAAAGATCAGCGACTGCGGGCTAGCAAACTTTCATGTAAAGAGATAGGGAGGACCCACATTTCAGAGTAATAGGGTCACAAAGAGTCAAACACGACTGAGCAACTGAACTGAACTAGGAAGGAGTAGGTAGGGAGAAGTTGAGTTAGCTCTGCTTTGTGTCAATAACCGTGCATGTTAATTTCACACACTATACTTCAATTCACTTCCCTTTTCTTTTGGAACAAAACTTTACTTTTGCTGTATTTGATTGATTCAAAATTCACTGTAACCACTATTTGCACGTCTTCCTGCTAACTGACCACCTCTAAGGAAGTGTTTTTGATGACCCAAGTGGACCCAGTTCTTGTCCTAGTGGGGTTTTATTAATGCTAATGTCAAGAAATTCAACAGCAGAACCTAGCCACAACAAACCTTTTGACACTGTCTTCCTGATTGCAACAGTGTCATAAAGAACAGAGGAGAAAAAAAAAATCACACATAAAACAAAACAAAAAAATCCTTCCCTCCTTCCTAAAAGAATATGAGCCTAATGTTCAACGAATAATCCACGAAACACTTAAGTCATGAACACTTCAAAGCTCCGTATTCTCTAGTTGATCGTGCAGAAACTGTTATGTGGCAGGGACTGTCCCATAAGCAAGTTCTCTGCAGAGTCTGAATCTTTGCCCAGCGTTTCTGCACTGCTTTGGGCGGGCTTCCTGCATGTGCTTACAGCAATGAGAGGATTACCTAAAGGATACATTTCACAAACAAGCCGTCACGTGTCTTGCGCTGAAACTGCATCCCATGCCAAAAGTCTGCTTCTGCAGATGAGAGCTCTGAAGAACTCGACCACCACAGCCCAAACCAGCTCTGAATACACATTCCCAAGTGAAAAGAGGCTGCCTTTAAAGGTCTGTGGGAGGCTGATGACAAACGGAGGCACTGGTACCTTTACAGTAAAAGCAGATATCCTAAAAACAATGTTGATCTCGTGCCTTCCGTGCTAAAGACACTGTTAGGGTCCCATGGGAGCGCAGAAGGGATGACTGGCGCAGGGGGGTGATGGGGGTGTTCCACGCATGGGCAAAAGGGGATTACGGAAATAATCCCGCTCTCGGCTCAAACCATTTGCAAGTCAAGGGGCCAAAACGCCAGTGGTGTTCAGAAAAACTTCCCAAGTCCTCCCCGACCCGGGTGCAGTGGGCTCAGGGGATCCGGAGAGCTGAAGCTCGAGAGAAGGGAGCAGACGAGGACAGCAAAAGCCGGCCTGGGGGGCGGGGAGTCAGCGCGGAGGCGGGAAAGGCGCGAGTCCACTCGCGCCGGGAGCAGAGGGGATGCCACCGGGCGACCAGCCCCCTCCACGCCGGCGCGCCGCCGGCAGCCGCTGCCGCCGGGTGGATGTGGACCAATCGGGCCCACCTGCCGCCGCCTTTGCGCCGCGGCTCCCGAGGGGCCGGGTTGCGGGCGCCTGCAAGCCGCGACGACAGAGGGCAGCAGCGCCGGCCGTAGCCCCGCCTCCGGGCCGAGCGCCCGGGGCCTCGGAGCCGCGCGCCACCGCCTCCCGCGCTAGCACCTGCGCGCGACCCCGGCGCAGCCCGCCCGACCCAGGTGCAGCAGACCGGGGCCTGCCGGCGGTAGGGGATGGGAGTCCGGGCTGGAGGGCGAGTCGCCACCCCCAAGCTCCGTGCCCGCGCCAGGCAGGCGCCGCCACCGAAGGGTGCTTTGTTTGTGCGGCTCGAGCGGGGATGCCGGGACGGGAGTGCAGCCCCCGCCCCGTCCGGAAAACGGGAAAAGCAAAGCCCGCGGTGGAGGGTGCTGAAAACCGCAAAGCCCTTCTCCACGCGGCGATGTCGGGGCCAGCCGCACCCCACCCCCGCTCTGCCCGTCCTCCTTCCCAAACCCCGACCCCCGCCCAGCCCCGCGGCTGCGCTCACCTACTCTCCGCGACCCCCGCGTCTTGGCTCATCGTCGTTTGGCGTCTGGGAGGCGGCGCCACGCGCGCCCGAGGCTCGGCGCTCAACTAGCGCCTGGGCGCCTGCAGGAGGGGTTCGCGTGCCGCGCGCTGCCCTGCGCACCCGGAGGCGGCGGACGCTGCCGGGGGAGGGACGAGAGCGAGCGAGAGCCGCCGGGGGAGGGGACTGGGCGGGAGGGGGCGCCGGGCGCGCTGCTGCAGCCGCAGCCGGAGGCCGCCCGGGCTCCCGAATGGAAACGAAAGCTCGCCGGCGGCGGGCCCGCGCGTGCACGCCGGCGGGCACACTCTCACACGTGCGCACACCGGCCGCTCGGGGGCTGCTTACCTCCCTGCGGGAGCTAGGTTTGGTGTCACTAATGCCGGGGCTTCTGTGAAAGAGCAGGGCCAGCGCCATTCTGCAGGGAGCTCATATCACCCCCATTGGGGGGTTTTCACGAGACAACCCGCCTCCCTCGAGGAATTCCCAGATTCTCTTCCTAGGGTCTGAAAGGCCCTCGAAATTGATTTTCAGATTTTATATCTAAACCCAAGTGTCTAGAATGAGGGACCGCAGCTTTCATACGGTTAAACAGCCTTGTGACCCCCGCCGCCCCAACCCTAAACTGTAAGGGTGGATGGGCTAAACCAATGGTTTCCCAACTTTACTGCACATTTGATTACCCAAGGAGTTTTTAAATTTTGATGCTCCGAGTGGTATCCCAGATGAATTAGATCAGTGCAGTGGGATCCAGTCAGTCATATTTCTTAAAGATCCAGGTGATTCCAACATTCAGAAAAGTATAGGAACCACTGCTTAGACTGCCGGTGGTCCTCGTGGTACCGTTTTCTTTTACCCCGATTCTCAGCGTGACCCTTTGCTTCTCTATTTTCCATGTAGTGATGGGTGTCACACAGCATCAAGCCCAGGTCTGGCTCACAGGAAGTGCGGAGTACACCTCTACTGCAGGAAGGACGCAAAGGCAGCGTCCAGGATGGGCCCTCTACCTTGCAGCCACCCCCCCCCCCCTTTGCTCTTTCTGAAATTGTCCACAGGCTGAAATACCCTTGACCTCATGGAATTGACTTCCCATCATGCCTGAAGCCGGAGAAGGCAATGGCAGCCCACTCCAGTACTCTTGCCTGGAAAATCCCATGGACAGAGGAGCCTGGTAGGCTGCAGTCCATGAGGTGGCTAGGAGTCAGCCTCGACTGAGCGACTTCACTTTCACTTTTCACTTTCATGCATTGGAGAAGGAAATGGCAACCCACTCCAGGGTTCTTGCCTGGAGAATCCCAGGGACGGGGGAGCCTGGTGGGCTGCCGTCTATGGGGTCGCACAGTCAGACACGACTGAAGTGACTTAGCAGCAGCAGCAGCAGCATGCCTGAAGCTGGGGAAGAAAAGGAATCATTGCGCTTGAAGGGACAACTGTCTTTTCCTTTCCTCCAAACGTCTCCACCTCAGAACACCCCTGTCTGTCTCACTGTGACTCAGAGGCTCAGTGCTGACTGTGGGAGCACACAATAAAAGGCATGGCTCAGGGACTGGAACACCAGTTGAGTCCAGCGCTATGACTAGATGGTTTATACCTGGGAAAGAGATGGCCTTGGTACTATCACTGGGCCTTGGGGTTCTTCTGTTGAACATAAACATGAACAAGTTCTCAGAACATCAGCATCCAACAAGGCCCCTCTGTGACCACGATGTATAAAGGCAAGAGCAAGACTCCTTAATATGTCTAAACACAGACAAAATATGAACATCATCCAAACCACAGTGGACACACAGCCATTCTGGCCAGTTAGAGCTTCTTTGCCAATTATAGCCTTAGTCTCCCTCTGGTCTGCCCTACTATGAATAAGATTTACAAAGATACACATTTGTAGAGTGAACTCTGGTGTCCTGAGCGCCCCTGCACTCAGCTTACAAAAAAACAAATCCTTTAATAATATTTTCTAATACCTTCTCACTGACACACCTCCAGGGTTTCCCATGGTATGCATTTCCCTCAGTGCAATGAGTAATAAATTCAACTCTTTAAACGATAGGAAATATTCCTAGTGTTCTTTGGCAAGGGAGCGTTAAAAAACATCTCAGTCATCACAATAACAGCACAAGGTAACTATTACACTCTCTTCACATATAAGCTAACTGGGGTTCACACAGATCATGTAACAAACTCACACAGGGCTGCCTGCTGTCAGTAGAGAGGCAGGCTTCATGTTCACGTGGGTTTGAGGGGAGTCAGGCCAGCGTGCTACCTTTTCACAGTAACTCTCACTTCCAGATGAGCCTGAGTTCCAGCCCCAGCTCAGTCCTTTTCTAGCTATGGACATTTGAGCAAGTCATTTAACTCTCTTGAGTTCACCTTCCTCGCAAAAGAAAAAAAAAAAGTAGACCTAGAAACAGGTATTTTTTTATTTAGATAGACACCATTTTATTAGTTTCAGAGGTACCATATAATGATTTGGTAGGTATATATATATGTGAAATGCTCACCATAATAAGTCTAGTTCATATCCATCACCACACCTAGTTACAAAAATTTTGTTCTTATGCCAAGAACTTTTAAGATATATTCCATAAACAACTTTCAAATATATAATACAGTATTATTAACTATAAGGATGTGTATACTCCTGGTATATTTTTCATAAACTCCCCAGGAGGCCTGACACAGCACCTGTTGGCAGATCCTGGTTTTGGAAGTTACCTTGCATCTGCCAGATCTGAAGTCCCCTTTTCCAAATGTTACTATGTCACTTGACTCTTCTCACCTTTCAGAAGTTTTTTGGCTTCCAGGAGGCCCATATAATATGACAAGCAAATGAAGTAAAGCCTGAAAAAACCATGTGAGTGAACTTGTATTAGATCCTTCAGCCTCACCTGAGTCTTTGGACCCCCGAAGCCCTGGTGGACGGCTTGCCTACAATCTCATGACAGACCTTGAGCCACAACCACCCAGCTAAGCCATTTACCGATTTCTGACCCACACAAACTCTGAAATAATAAATATTTGTTGTTTTAAGCTGTTATATCGGGGAGTAATTTGTTATGCAGCAAAAAAATAATACAAAGGAAATAAGATCCCATAGTTAGTGCAGTAGAATCACACTATTTGCACTTTAAGGTACATTTAACCATATTCACTTTGCAAAGGCGGGAGAGAAAACAATTCAGTGTCAACAATTCTGCCTGTTACTCCAGTGAAATGAGGGAATGAGAGAGGTGGGTCAGGTTTTATCAGTCAGTCTCTGATTCACTCCTGGGTATCTCTCACAGAGATGAAAGTCTTGATACTGGCTATGTTGCCTGTATTTTTAAATATCCATGTTTTGCACAAAGTGGAAAGAATGAGGTTAATTCACTGACTTAGATTATATATATATAAGATAATCAAAATGACACTTGAAACCCCTTAACTCATCAGGACCTGAGCCCAGAACATCCCCAAATCAAGAATAGCACTGACTTTAGACCAGTATAAGAGGGGACCCAAACCCAGGACCCTGGCTTCAGAGGACCCTTCCACAGCTCTCATCCAATCACACTTCCCATGGGCTAAGGAGTCCATGAGGCCCAAGGGATGTGCCCTTCCATAGCTTTTGTCCTGTCTCCACTTCTAAACCAAGCTCAAGGGAGGAGAGATCCCACATTCCTCTTCAAATGCCCTAAGCTCACTTCCAGGGCCCACAACAGGCCTTTCCCCAGTCCAACCTTCACCAGCTCCAGCTCTCCAAGACTGGGACATAGAAGGGCCAGGGGAGACCAGATGTAGCTGTCTAAAGGGATGTGGATGGAGATTGTCTGTGCAAGCCTAGTGGTCCACACATGCACAGAGCCCCTCGCCACCCAGGCCAGCAGCAGAAAACCAAGAACAAGACCCACGGACCACGAGCTGGCTCTCCAAATGCTACCTCTTGCTGGGTGTACGACTCTGACAGCTCTCGCTTGACCCGTCCCTCCTGTCAGTTATTGACCCGTTCCTCCTGTCAGTTATTCATTTGGCAGGAATATTTGTCAAAGCAGGAAGACATGGTATATTTCATGTAACAAACAGCGTGTTTGCTTGACATATAACTTACATGTTTAGACATATTACACATGGATGTCCATGTGTACTTGGGCCTCGGGTCCCACAAATGACTGGGATGACCCGGCCCAGAACTAACTTCTTCATCTTTATTTTGTTTCACTTTTTTACTTCTGGCCTCTTTTTGCCTGAGAGAGTGGAATCCAAGGCATTATGAGTGGGGAGGAAGGCAATGAGATAATCCTCCTTCTGCTGTTATTTAAGTATATTGGTGTGGGACTTCCCTGGTGGTCCAGTGGTTAAGACTCTGTGCTTCCACTGCAAGGGGAACAGGTTTGATCCCTGGTGGGGGAACTAAGATCCTGCATGCTGCTCCTGACACAGCCAAATATATAAAAATAAAAGTATGATGCTTTCAAAATTTTAAGAATAAATAAAGATATTGGTGTATGATTTTGCCTAACACATTTGGTTAAATCCACAAAGATGGGGTGTCTTCTCTCTCTGAGGCCCAAATGGGGTCTTTCTAGGTAAGGTCCATGCTTGGATTTTTGTGTGTAGCTGTTATTGTTTAATACTTTGCTAGGATAATTACTCATCTCAGATGGAAATGTCCCTTCGAGACCATTTTCCTTACATCTTCATATATATTATAAAAAAAAATTGTGTGTGTGTTTGCCTCAAAATTGTATGATATATACACTATTTTTCCATTTGTTTTTATGCTACAATATATCTCAAAGATCTATCCACCTTAGCTACAAATTTTGCTATTAATTTATTTATTATTAGCACTATTATTTATTTTTTAGCTCTATTCCATTAAAGATAAATTATCATTTTGATACCTATATGAAATTTGTATGTGAGTCATGCATGTTTTCAGATTTAAAATGCAAGTTTATTTATGTTAAATTTTGTAGAAGGGGTGTTAGTGGAGAAAGATCTGAAGAGAAAAGTTTTCCTGAAGACATCTTGGAGA